CCACATGCTGGTGGTAATTACTGAAGAGTTGTAGACATCGCATCCAAAATGCCCTTGTATTTCAATGTGAACTTGGACACTTATGACCTCAGCGAACCTCAAAGTGAACCTCACAGTGAAAAGCAAAGACTTTACTTCTTTGGGCCACATTGCACAAGTATTAAAAGCCATTGAAAAAACTTTGCTCCTTGCATTGCAGACTTGACTGCTATTATATTCTACAACATGTGTTAATGTCTTGGACAGGCTTTAGAAGGGTGGTTAAGGCGATTTATTCTGTGAACAGAGCAAGAGGTTGGGACAATCACAGTCCCACTGACTCCAGCAGTGGCTGTGCTGATGTTTTTGCCTAGATTTCACACTCTTAACATAGTCCTTCATAGAATGATTTCTCATAAAACCTTTTTAAAGGCTGATAAAGTAATTTGTTAAGCGAAACAGACCCAAGTCTGTGGAGCTGTGCATACATTTTATTGACAGCTTCAACACAAGGCTCATTTTCAAAACTCAAGGAATAGATCTACGAGAGGAAGAGGTGGCAAATCACCAAGTCATTTTAGGAGTGGAAGTTGTTTTTAGAGTGGAACTTGGGCCAAGCAGGCAATGCTGCACATGATATTGCAATTTCAGTTAATCTCCTCCACAATGTGTCATCTGAGCTGCCTGGTGTAGGAAGAACCTAAATGCCCTTTAGTAATTCTCTCTGGTTTTAACCTCTCTTCTTATGTATAACTGTGAAATCCCCTTATTTCATGTACTTTAGCCTTTTCTTACGAGGAAGAAATTTCTGTCCTTTCCCAAATCATTTTCCGGTACTAGAGTAGGAAAAATTACAAAGATCAGAATGTACAGAGCACAAGGAAACAGATCTCAGGCTAATTAAAACTCTTTGGAGTTTTTCCCTTTTTTTTTTTTTTATTCACCATTTTTTTTTTCTAATAGAACTTAGTTAAAAGACATTCACAGAAGATACTAGGCATACATACATATTTTCCTTCTTTCACTCTAATTTACATGCTGTTGCTTTTAGAAGGTAAGGTCTCTGTTTCATTTCTCTAGGAATGGAAAACCAAATGTGAATAATGGAATTTAGGAGGTGCTTTTAAAAAATTACATCCTTATAGAGTAACCATGTTTGTTGGAGTGTAAAATAATCCATGGGAGAAACCGTATCAAAAACTATTGCTTATCAAACTGAGAGAGCACTTTACATTTTAGTACATACCCTGCAAATTAGATGCATCTGCCATTAAACAACACTCTATTAAATAAAATGTGATTATTTACTACAGTCTTTTAAACCGAATTCTTATAACTACACTAAATTTGTACACATACATCACTGCTTTGGCAGTCCTAGTAAACTGATAACAACCGTCCTTTCATATAGTAAACTGATAACAACCGTCCTTTAATATCATGCTAGAGCATGATATTAAGATGGTGCCATACTAATGAAGCAGTAGATGCTCTGCGAGATAGGGAGGGAATGTTTAAGGTTTAAGACAACAAAAATACAATGCAGAAATACTCTAATACCAGTTAAAGATAGATATTCCTATTTAATATATCTGAATTTGCTCTCAGTAAATATGGAACAAGCAGTGTCTGAATGATTTTTTTAAAAAAACAAGTCCTTGGAATGTTGCTTTTTCCCTAAAGGCTGCATTGATATCAAAATTAGTTCTTCAGCATTTTAACTCCTTCGGAGTTCCACAACTCATTACCTGGTGGTAGCTGTGTTTTGTGATGGGGAGCCAAATGTTGCTTACATTATTCACTAACCGAGACTCCTAATTCTGAGCCCAGTCTTGCTCTCTTGACAGTTAATGGCAATTCTGTTGGGACAGTGGTCTGGTAGCAGGCCTTTTACAGACACAGCTGGCACTTGGCACAGCTGGCAGCTCCCCTCCTATCACAAGGAGCTACATTTTCCTCTGCATTGGAAATAGGTGAAGTAATTCAAACAGCTGATATCACTGACTATTTTAATATTGTTCCGGGAAAGTACAATAGGAAAGCAGGATTCCTCCTCCTCTCCCTCAGATTTTCCCACTACAGGAATAGGGAAAGTACTTTGGCACAAATAAAAATGGTTGACCAAGAGCATTATTTCGACTTTCAATAATAGAACCACAAATAGAACCACAGAGGAGCAAGTCCTCAGAGTATATACTATACCAGCAAAAATATACACACTACTCTTTGAGCCTGCTCCTCCTTCATTCCTAAGGTAGCAAATAGTGGCCAGCACTTGTAAAATTAGACTTACACCATCTCGAAGATGGAAACACAAAGCAGACGGCCAAGTTGTCACCCCTACAGTCATCAAAGAGGAGCTGCTAGTCTTAAGATCATGGCTAAAGTCCAGTTAAGGAGATGCGGAATTATTTATGCAGCTCTCAGGAAGTAACACTTAATTCAAGGCAATTGTAGAGTTATGAAAGTGACTTATCAGGAAAATAATGACAAGTTTGAAGATTATCATCATTTTAACACAGTATGAATTAATTTCACATAAATAATTTTTGATGTTCAGTTTAACGGAGACACGCAGAGGCTTGCAACCCTGTTGTTAAGAAACAAATCCTGAAGCATTAAAACTTAAGACACCAGTTTACTGCATCCACATGTGCACTGGTCTGAGGATATTTTCTAGAGATCCTTACTTGCAAGGTAGCTTGGCCAAAGGCTTTGGTAGTCAGAGACCTGGTTATATCTCCCTGATACCTCTGTGCTGAGGCACAGATCTGCACAGCTGCTGCCAGGCTGGTCTCTCTTATGTGCAGACACAGAGGATTCTCATCTGTCCAGTTATGCACATTTGCTCCCCTCCCAAATGTGACATTCAGATTAGAAAGTGAACAACCCAAACCCCAGTCTATGCAAATGATGCTCTACTCCCTCCCCTTGATAACTTGAAATTACAGGCAGGGATATAAGAGAGTGGACTGAAAAAAAAAAAGCAAACATTAAAATCAAATTAAATATATAGAAAAGAGAACACTTTCATTAAACATGCTTGAAACATGAAACAACTGATGGACCTTGCTGAATAGCTAGTGGTGCAGGCTCAATTCCACCTTTGAATGTGCCCATGGGGAGACAGGGACAAGGGCTCATCCGCTCAAGTAAGCGCAGGAAGGGGAAAGGTTAACACTGGAGGCCAGGCGGCACACTGCAGGGCACAGGAGTGGCAAGGGTGGTTTTACCTGAGGAACAGTCAATATATATATATATATTTTAAAAATTTACAGTGCTTTGTTTGTTAAGTCCAAATTCATAAAATGAAGAAATGAATGGATTTGATTTGGTCTGAAATCTATGTTCAGGAAATGCAGAAGAGGACTTTATGCTACCCTCCTTAAAATCAAACCATTTGGTTTTGTCTTCCTATTGTGCCTACAAATTTCTTGCTGGGTAAGACTCCAGTATTTTCCTCTCCTTCCATTAAATCTTTTTGTTTGTTCATTTATTTCATTTTATAGCAACTAGAAAAATGAAATATACACAGAAAAGAGAGAAGGAAATTAAAGTTGGCAGCTCTGCTCAGTATATCAGATCGGAGAGGTGGATTTAAAATATAAATCTTTCTTGCAAGCAAAAATGGACTAAATCTGTGCATACTAAATCCCTCAATATTAAAGAGTAAGTAAACCTAAAACTCTCACAAGCATAAGTACTTTTAAAGAGAAACTCTTGGAGTTGTGCTTCTAGTGCACTGGAGATGATGTCTTGTAATACATTCTGTTCTTTATTCGGTTCTGCTGCACAAACTACGTATAAGGACCAACCCTGATATCTGCTGCACTTGGTACTGTCTGTCCTTTACTTCTAAGAGACTATGTTGATTCAGGCAATTTGGTGCATTGAAAATTAACTCTTTTCCAGCACTATATGTTTCTCATATTCTCTTTGTGTTTTCAAACTCCGTTTGTTGGAGCACTGTTAACAGTGGCTTTCCAAAAGGGCTTGAAATGAAACACTTAAGAACAAACTGTTATGCCAAAGCTGGGAAAAAACATATTATGTGAAGCCTGCTGGCTCGAATGCACCCAATAGAGCTGTACCAGCATTTCTGCAATGGCCTATAAGAAAGAAACAGAAGCAAACGAGGTCTGGCCCTAACTCCCTACTGCAGTTGTGCCTCAGTACAGGGCCAAGGCACAGCCAAGTTAGGATGTGGAAAAGGACTACGTCTACAGACTTGCACAGCATTGTTGTCCTCAAGAGCCCAGCCAAGGAACAGAAAACTCAAGTGTCCTGTGCTTTTTCCTCCTCCTCCTCTCTGGTGGTGGTGGTGGTGATGGTGGTAAGAACGTCGGTTTTACATTGCCGATAAGTCACGTACACAAAGTGCCTGGGTCACGAGGCTGGCGCCCACCCATGGCAAACAGGGTTTGCATTAAGCACCGACCTGCTTCTCCTGCTCCCCACTCCCCAAAGCCCACCCTTAGTCCCCATGGTTCAAACCACACCAAAATGAAACGCAGAACGACGAAGACTGGGGATGATGACAACCTGCCCGGAAGGGAGGACAAGACGCCGAGAGCAACGCGCCGTCCCTTGCTCTCCAGACAGGACTATCCACATCTTAAGCAGCTTTTAAAAAATGGTAAAAAAGGGGCCCTGCTCCTCAGCACAGGCATCCAGACCCCCTTGAACCATACACAGAAACAGACAGGTATTACTCGAAACTTTCACCAGCGCCGAAGCCGTAAAGCCGCTCTTTGTTGTAGGTGTTGGGATACAGAAGAGGCAATTTGCTGCAAATAAATATTAAAAAGTATTTCTCTTAAATGCTTGTGATATTCTTGATTTTTTTTTCCTTTTTCTCCAGTCTCAATGTTTTTTTTTTGTTTCCATGTCGCTTTCTCCTCCTGTTGTGCTGATCTTTTTCCCATACATGTGCTCTAGAGTCCGAAGCCGTGTCCTCTCCTCAGCCCAGTGTCCCCCCACACGCCCCCGGCCCAGCTGGTGCCCACCGCGCGCCACTGGGCTCAGATGAGCCATTCCTTTTTGCTCTCGTCGATGGTCTCCGTGAAGTTGGGGTCGTTGTTCATGATGGCTGCATCGGCGCTCTCGGCTGACTCTGCGCCCTTGGCCTCGTTGGTGTGATAGGTGCCCTTGTGGCGGAACATGTAGCGGATGAGGAAGACCAGGGTGCACAGGATGGTGAAGATCACCACGGCGATGATGCCTGGGCCGGGGAAAGGGGAAAGAGACAAGAGTAGGACAGAGAAATGCCACGCGTGCCAGAGATGGAGGCATCTTTGCACACTTTCCAAGCGGGGGTCGCATGCATCTAGCGAGGCCCCATAGCAGCCCCCATGACATGCGTTCCATAGAGGCACGTTTGGGTCTCCGTGCAACACTCAGCTTGGCGCTCAACTCTCTTTTGTAGGGGCATCATGAATTTTACCCTCTTACGCGTAGGTAAGGATGTGCTAGAACAGCACTTCTCCCTTTTTCTAAGCCCTTCTCTCCAAATGCACATCTCCCAGGTGAAGATCTTACCAAGTTCTCAGCCAATAAATAAATAAATAAAATCTCACAATCAGCCAGAAATATTTAATACTGCTCTTATTAGCTGAAGCATTTAGGTATGGCCTGAATTTTGTAAGGAGTGCAATTCTATTCTTGTGGTACTGTAAGGTGTCAAGGTAATAGGGAAAAGTTGTAAGTAGTAACAAAAAGACTATAAAAAAAAGCACACCCCTGAAACTAGAGTTAAAAACCTGGGTATGGTATAAATCTAGGTATGGAAACATAGACCTTTGAGAGGGCCAAGGGGAAGAAAAAGGAATTTCAAATAGACTGCACATACAACTGTACTCGGTGTTATTTTGCACAACAACAGTAAAAAAACAAAAACAAACACCAGCGTGTCATTTTATCTGCATATAGAGCTGATCAAAAAATACTAGGCTGACTTTGAAAAACAATTTCTGCATCTTTTCAGAATATGATGCAGTGATATATAATTCTGTTCTGAGAGTTATCGTGCAACTCTGATACTGCGGAAGAGGGCACTGAACACTGCATGTGTGCATAAATTTAATCAGGGCCTTTATTTCCGAAGATTGTTGGCCAGCAAGTCTTCATTTAAATGCTAATTCAAGGACAATTTTAGAATTACTTAACCTGGAGAGCTATTTCACTGAATGGGATTACAAGGTGTACAAATTACAGAAGTTGGCCCCTAGAAAACAAGGTGGGATCACAAATGATTTTTGTCAAGAGTGCAACCGAGTGTGTCTGAAATAGTCACATTGAAATGCTATAGTTGGGAAAGCATCCCACCTTCTCATATAAATTAGCTATTCTGTAACTTACATAATTATACCAGAGTAGCTCTCTGCATGGATGCTTAAAATGTGGACTATCAACAAATCTAATATTTAGATTTGGTTAAAGCTACATCGGAGGGGACAAACTAAATGTGAACAAACCATTTTTTTTTCAGAACAATGTGCCTGAATGGAATGACATAAACTTCTATTTAACTTTGTTCTGGTGCCATTTTCCCACAGAGTTCTTAGCATATATCCTGAACATATTAGGAGCTACAATTCAACCTTCACAATCATATTGAAAAGTATCTTGCAAAAGTAGACATATTTCCTACCTCCAATAATGGCAGAGTTTCTGTTAACCCCATCTCCTATAGCTTGACCGTTGTACGGGAAATCAGCACTGGCTGTAAAGAGGAAATTAAAGATTCACATTGTGAGAGCAGTGAAACTTTATACAGTAGCTCAGAAGTATATCCAACATCCTCAGATAAAACTTAAAGAAAATTGTGATATGTATTTATCTAAAGAAATAAGAAAAAAAATCTTCCACAGCTGAGCTGCATGAAGGAAGCAGGACAGGGCTAGAGCAGTGCCTGGACGGAAGTTTTGCTTTTAACGTCCAGAACCATCACAGACAATTTCCAAAGGAAATCTCCCCTACTAAACCTCTCACCTACGTTTTCTTTGTAGTGAGCCATAGCAACAAGACACTGCACAGACTAAGCAAACCCAAGGAGCTACACGAGTGATTGTAATCACCCTCTTTTGGCACGTGAAACATGACATTGATCTTGAAATAGAAAAAGTGCTAAAGACATTTGAATGGAGATCATTAAAAATAATCAACAAAATAAATAGCGACCTAAGAATAATTCAAGACAGCTATATTTTCATTTTTCATGCATTTGGTGACATTGTAATACTTCTCCTTGACAGGCCGTCGATACGTTCACTTCATCCCAAAACCGGCTACCAATTCAACCGGCTTTGTTAGAATGTAGGAAAAACCTTAATAGAGTTTCTCTGCATCTCAAAACATCTGTACAGAAGAATGAATGGTCCAACAGGAATTTGTGAGCTAGAGTAACCTCCTATGTGTATACTCTGGAAAGAGTAAGGAAAAAAAAAAAAGATAAATAAATACCTGGTTCAGTATCAGTGTTTTTTTCTCCCAAAGAACCTTACTGTTCATGATTATTAATGTTTCCTATAGAGAGATTTTGGCAAAGGGTCCTTAGTATTATCCTGACAACACTGAGGGGGAAAGGCTGGCAGCAGGAGATTAAACACTGCTTTTAAACCTAGCCCGCCTGTTCCTTCGGCAAAAATCATAAAGCCAAATGACTCCTTTAAGAAAAGCCTCAGGTGTGCAAAATTGTAAGGAAATTGTTCTCTCCAATTGTAGTCCCAAACAGGGTCCCTTACCACAGAAGCATGACCACATGAAGTACCAAATCCTATTCCTTGCTTGTATGGTTTTGAGTTGCCCGTGTTTCTCTGCAGAGAAAAATCTTCGGCTCCACAACAATTACAGTTCTGCCTTCCGTTATGATGGTATAGGGAACCCTCTCTTGTTTTTTAAAGATTGTTTTGAGGACAACAGCATGAATGGAGTGTGAAGAAATACCTGCATTGTGCATATAAGTTGTGTAATTCAGACACACTGATTTCTTTCTGACCATACTACAGTTCATTCCTGTGCAATATGAGGTAACTTTATCTAGAAGACAAATAACAAGATTGTTTTCTTCCTTTGCTGTTAAAATTATGTAATAAAATGAGAAGAGAACGAGTTAAGACAAGCTCACAAAGGGGCACCAGTAATCCTGATGCTCTAGTAAAAGCACAGAAAAATCTAGAGTGCCCGCCACAGGTTTAAAAAAATGAACACCCTAAGATATTTCAAAGTGACTGATCAGATAAAAAGAATATCATTATACTGACTCTCACTTTTCATAGGAGTCTGAAATGCAGTGAGTGGTATAATAACTAGCTCACATGGCTATGATATGCGCTGGAAGTACTTGAGGAGTTGCTAATGGGCAAGTGTGTTCCCTCATTTCTCTATCATCACAGCTGGTAACACCTTTTTCCTGTTCAAATCCTTTCATTAACACGTTGACATTAATTTTAACTACACGTCTCAGCAAGACCTTTCTCACTGCCTTATACCTCAGTAACTTCAAATGATGGCTTGCCCAGAGCAAATAGGTGTTATGGAGCTGCAGTTATTTTATGTAGCTACTCTGCAAAGCCAAAGCAAATTTATTGCTCACAGGGACAGCAAGTGAATTGTGGATGTAATATAGGTGGGAGTTGGAAAGGTATTGGAAGGGTTGGAAGCTGTTTTTTTATATCCTTTCTTCCCACAGTAGTCCCTTGAACTTACTTGATCATACTGTGATCATCCTGAACTTGACCATGTTAAAGGACACATCATGCTTTGCTGTCTCTTCTTTTCACGGACTGCTGTTGATAAGGTGATAGCTTCAATAATTGGTACAGAGTAAAGCTATAGAGACTATAAACTAAAGTTTTGCACTCTTTTACTTGCTATTATTAGCTAAATAGAATTAAAGGGACTTTGCATGACCTATAAGGGTGATAAAGGATCAACTACAGAAAAAAAAAAACCTGTATTGACCATCATTAATGATATTTGAAATTTCAGACTACTACAAAGGTACAGTAGGAGATCTAATATCATCCTGCACATTAAACTCAGTCACTGCTGCAGCCATTGGCGATAATGCAGGACTCACTGGATGGAAAGGGGAGGTAGGACTGGACAAACACACCTGAGTAAGACGAGAAAATTCATGGTGACAGGTATGCTTTATTTACCTGACTGAATGATAGTTTTTGTTCTTTAGAGTAGATAAAATTTTGCAGCATCATTTTTAGAGGGAGAATTTTTACTACAGGTCTCACATAAGTCTTTCACAAATTCACAAAAGGTTTCTGTTAAAGTAGAAATGTAGTCCACAAAGTTGGTGTGGGGAGAGAAACCAACACAACACTATACAGTAAAGGTACTTTGCAGGGAAAGAACAAACTGGGATCTTTCCAGCTAGCAAGCAGTACTGATATCCTGACTATGAACCACCAATGCTGAAGGAAATACACTGAGCACTCGTGAGACAATTCAATTTACCTAATTTTGAATGCATGAATTAGAAACCTTTGACACATCATTTTTAGACTTCTTCTAAGGACAGAAGTCTGTTTCTTTCCACAAATTATATAGAAAAAAAGCTTCCTAAATTAGACAATACATGAATATTAGTTAAGACTAATTATGATTTCACATAAATGTGAACTAGAGAATATAGACCTGGTGATCACAAGGTATGTGAAGCCCCCAGGTATCAAGACATTGATTAAAAATAGAACGACAAGAGAATAAAATAGAAACAAGCATTAGGTATCATTCATTCTTCCTAATTCTCTTTTTAAGCCATACATCCAAGAGGAAAAGCTCTGTGATTCATCCATACGGAGCCTATAAAGACAGCAAGCATTCACAGACACATTAGGATTTTGAGAAAAACCTTGAAACTAATCAGTTCATTAATCTATTTCTCCATGGACTGTAACACAGAGGAAAACAACGACCAGCTCTCTGTCAAGTTATATCAACTCCACCTGCCACATGGGGCTGTACCACTCTGGCTACAAAGTACAGACTGCTCCTTATTAACTGCTGTGAATACAGAAACATCATTAACAGCTTGACTCTTGCTAATGAAAACAAATGGGTAGTCACTGGCACATTCCCTATCCTTCAGAGGCCAGATAAGAAAAGAAATTCAAAGCATACAAATGACTAAGTGGGAGCAAACAACTCCACTACACGCTGGTCTGCATCAAAGGTGACCATTGCAACCCGTAAACCCCAGGCCCTTTCTCTAGCTTGTCACCCTGCCTATCTCTACCTCTTCCACTCAACTTTTGCTCCCAACTTGGCCTTGCTCCCTCTCAGCAGAGAAACACAGGACAGCCCATGGCCTTGCTCCAGCCATGCATGTCCTCACTGTGCCAAAGACCCTTCTCAAAACACCCATCCTCTATCACCCAAAAATAAATAAATAAATAAATAAAATAAAATAAAATAAAATCTATTTACATTCCTAATTCTCCAAGCTGAAAATAAGAAAGAAGGAAATCTGCCCCCTGCTTTTTGAGGGATTTAAGAGCAAATCTTATTGGAGGAATGTACTTAGAACCTATCTGAAGTTCCTCTGATATCAGCCTTTCACTTTAAGAACACCATTTCCTATTCTATCTCCAACAATGCAACATATGGGGGACACCATTCACACCATTGGATCAAAATCCACTAATTTCTTCCATCTTTTGCAACCTTCTCAGGGAGAGGGTGGGAGAGGGATAGGGGACCAGAAAAATCTTCATAAACCACAAAAAAAGTCTTCTAAAACATTAGTGCTACTTGGGCCAATTACTTAAACTAAGTAGTCAGATATGTTCCATTAGGTCATAACCACTTTGAGCAGTGGTATTTTTGTCTAAGTATTTTTCATTGAACCTCAGGTGTTTTTACTCCCAATTATACTGGTCAGTTTTGATGAGAGAAAGCAGAAACACACAGAGATTATGAAAAATATTAGTTTTTTTTTACTCAGAACAAGTGTTCTTACATATTTATTTTCTGAAATCTTTCCAATTGTATCTTTTTTTTTCCTAATTTGAAATATGTATAAGTTAGTAAAGCCACTGGAATTATGGCTTAATAGAGCTATTGTCCTCTGAACAGCCCTTCTGCACCCAAACATCTGGAATACTGTGGGAAACTAATCAGGGACTACAGAAGAAACAGCAGCTGGATATTTCTGTTAAAGAAGAAAAAAACCACGGGATGAACAATGAAAATGCAAGTAACGAACCAACAAGGACAAGGCTGAGAGGAAATCCAATGTATATTCTATGTGCAATGCACAAGGATGGTGCAAATTTTCACCATTAGACTCCAAAGGGAACAAGCTATGCAGTCAAGATAGTTGTTTCTGAATAGCAGCTCCATTAGCCCTTTCATTTCCTACTGTAGGCAAACTTTTCTGTATGTACTCTTAGATGGAGGAGAAAATGGAATTTTATGAAACTTATGGCTGAGAAGAAAGCAAAATTTTCTTTCTTTTGGCCTTAACACATAATTTTCCTAGGAAACAGGCAAAACCTGTATTTTATTAGGAGACTCATCCTTGCATCTTAAGCTCCCCCAAATTTATACTGAGTGAAATACGAATCAGGGAACACACCCCTGCAGTGACAGCTTGGCCTAGATGATTTTCTCTTGATTTCCCCTTTGTACAGTAACTTCCCATTAGCTTTTACACTTGCTTTGCACAACAAGCAATTGTGCAAGGCATGCAGGCAAGACCAAAGC